CTGCGGGGAGGGCTCGCCGTGCCGCTGCGGCGAGGCCGGCCAGCCAGGGCAGGAGCGTGCCTCCCGCCCGGCGCCCCCCTCGCCGCCGCCTTCCCCGCTGGAGAGTCGGTAGCCTTTAGCGAGCGGGGCCGCGTCAGCGGCATCGCCCCCGCCTCCTGGGAACGGCGTGGTGCGGGGGGGTGCTCGGGGGCTGTGCTGGTTCTCTGACACAGCCGACTGCAGCACCCCACGTCGTATCGGCTGGGGAGATACCTTTCCGCATCCTGCAGGAAGGAAGCCTCGCTGGAGGCACCTAGTGGTAGCGCTGCCCCTGGCATACGGCAGGGCGTCGGGGCGGGGAGGGTGGATGGATGTCTTGGATCCTTGGTCTCCTTGGACCCGGCAGTCTTCCCCGAGGAAGGGGCTGATGTGACAGCTGTTTTGGAGGAGGGGTGCCCCTTCGTGTCTGCTAGGCTGGTGGACCTGTCTTAACGTATCTGCAGATGGTTCAGGTACAGCAGGCGTGAGCCTCAGCTTGCAATCGGTGTTCGCTCTTGATGCATTTTTAGGGGAAAGGTAGAAAAAAAACTTCCACGTCTTTGGGGCTGCGGAGGTGTTGAACCTGCTGGAGCAATAAAGGTTAAAGAATGTAATAGATGTCTGTTTTCCATGCCAGCAAGCACAGTTACTAAAAAGCACAGAAAACGAAAGAATGCAGTATTTTAAAAAACAAACAAAACAAACCAAAAAACCTGCACAATTGCTAAAGGAATTGTAACCAAGGCCCACAGTCCACAAAGGTGCGTTTGTAAATGACAGAAAACATTGAGGAAGTAGCAGCTAAGTGGCTTTAATTATCTTTGGTTTTAGCTATGGAATGTCTAAAAAGAGACTCACTGATGTCTCACCTTGTGAAAATGGGTCATTAGTGACTCTGTGTCAAGCTTCTTTGCTCTTTTTCCTTTCAATTACATTACAGCTTTGAAAAATTAATGTGTTGTGCAAAGGCCTAGACTTAACATCAAACTTATTTTCTGGTTAGGCAATTTTAATAGAAAGATGGTAATTGTTCACAGAAATACCGCCCTTGAAAAGCCGCCCGGATGTGACTCCAGAGGAAAACCACATCCCAGAACTTTCCAAAGTGACTAATGACTTTGGATGTCTGATTTAGGGTGTTTCAACATCGGGAATGAAAGTGAGTAGGACTTTATGTGATTGCAGTCAGTGGGACACCAAGTAGGCTCCTGTTTCATTACAGACTTTGCCCAGGTTTTTGTGTGGTGTGTGGGGGTTTTTTTTGTGGTTTGGTTTTTGTGTTTGGGTTTTTTTTAAAACCAAGCAGTAAGCTGTATCTCTTCTGGAAGAGCTGACCCTACTTTCTGCCTGCAAGGTGCACTCCACCCTCTTGCTCCATGCCAATTTCTTTTAAAGTACAAGTTTTACATTGTTTCTTGATGACTATGTTTATTTAATACTTTACTGTGTGGAGAGGAGGGCTGATGTCAGTTGAGATATTTCTTTGTATCTCCCAGCAAGATGAGCATAGTCTTTGAACAGTTTATAAGGTGAGGAAAGGCAACAAAGGGCAACTTCCTTTAGTGCCCTGTTCTTTCTCATGAGTTGCAAATACTGCCTTTAACACTGCCTTTCAAAAGGAGGAGGTGATGGTTTCCTGGCATTGAAAGGGTCAGAAAGCATTTAGTTCCTCATTCTTGCATTGGGCATATTCCTAGATCAAGTTACCACTCGGGCACATTGCTCATAAATCCTGGCTTTTTAAGAGAATTTCACCTCTCTGAGGGCTTGTCACAAACTGCATGTGGACTTGCCACTAGGCTGAGTGAGCTGGGGTGTCTCTTCTCCCTGCTTGGAAAATCTGCCACAATTACACCTAAATTCTATAGGACATTAGGAAAGGATTCGGTCAGGTGGTATGTATGTTCCTCCTTGTCTTGTCTAGCTGAGGAGTTTTTAATTTGCTTGTGCTTTTGCTTTTTTTGCTGTGTTTATTCTGAAGTCTTCTGGAGAAGTGCCCGCAAATCACCAGTTTTTAGTAGGCTGCTTTTTATTAGTATCCTTTAATGTTAATATCTTTCAGTATTTAATACTGAGTATCAGGTGCTGTTGAGGCAGGGGTTCAAGGCACTTTGACCAACCCTATTAAGTGTAGTTCACAGTACAAGCAGTTCATATCCTATAATCTTCTTTTGGACATTTTAAAGACAATAAATTACATTCCTTTGGAGTGTCTTAATAATGTACTTTCAAGTACTTGACAGCATTTTGCTTCCCAGAACACTGCATTTGGAAGCAAATGTAAACATTTTAGGAAAAGTATAAAAGTCACCGTTAACTCAGGTTAAGGCTTTTTCAATTTTTTGATCAATTCTTAAAGATCATTCAGAACTTTTAGGTCAGAGCGTAGGCATAGGTTTCTTACCACTGAACTTGTTAAATTTGCCACCATTTTTCCTTGCATGCAAGATGACCATATGCAATTTCTATAATTTCTGCTGCTAGTGAATGCATTGTGGACAAGGATTTACTATGGGAAGGTGTTTCACTTTTTTCCCCCCTTTTAATCAGATTACCGAAATTTCCTCTGCTTTGCTCTGGTTTCAAAGATGGATTATGAGTAGTAAGATTAATTTAGTTGTTCTTCCCCTTTCATTCTGCAGTATGTAGTAGTATTGCTCTAAGAAACTGCAAAAAGCAGAGCACTGATTCACTTAACAGCAGTTGTCATAATTTGCATTGGTAACATGGTTATTTAGCCTTGGTATGCCAATTTTCCAATAGTGACCCTTACTGGAAAAGGAAATTAGATGACTCACATCCACAGTTCAACTAATTGTGAAGTATTTGAGTGTTTAAGGAGGTGGAGCAGTTCAGAACATCTGTATCAGAGTTACAGAACAAAATAATGTAGTTGGGGCAGCTGATACCAGTCTTTCTAAACAGAAACAAGACTTCAAATTGTATTGTACACAGTTAATTGGACTCTGTTTCTGAATTAATTTTTGCCTTGAAGTTACAGCAGATTGTGTAACAGATACAGTAATGCTTGAGAAAAGGCTGTTCATCCTTACGTGATGAGAAAAGGGACGCAGAATGGCAGTCTTCCTGGGAAGCCTCAGCTGCCAGAGACACAACAGCCTTTTTAGACTGGAGATGCGCTCATTTGGGTTTTGTCATGGGCTGATCAATGTGTTGTCTTGTGACTTGTTCTCCTTGTGTGAAATGGAGAAAATCCTTGTCATTCTGCCTGCCTTTGAAATGCAGCATCTGCTATAGCCTGCTATGTGCATAAGTTGGCAAAACCAGTAGATTTCTAACTGTGGAAGATGTGAATATCTTAATTTGCTGTCTCTCAATTTAGGTGTTTCAAGCATATGTTTTCTCCACAGACAAGGTAAAAAATGGTGTGATATTGAACTATACCCCATTTTTCCTCCTCCTCCCCTATCACTATCAGGGACTTCAGTTTACACTTGACTGTGTATTTGGATGCTCCATCATCTGTAATAGGTTGCCAATGATAGGGAAATAAATTACAAAAATTATTCAGTGGAAAAGAACTTCTAGAAATGTAAGCAGTCTCTATTTAATGAGCAGAGGATTTCTTTTCCATACCAGTCCTTAACATTTTCTGTAATAAATGAGTTAAACTGCATACAGAGCCCGTTCTGTGAGGGTTGCATTCAGACACCGGCTAATCTCACCAAGGAATGTAAGCTTCTTGTCTAGAAACAACTGAGATTTGGATCTGAAGCTTTCTTAAAAATTGTTCTATGCTTTTTACTAGCCTGAAAAGTAAATACAAGCTTGCACAATTTGTAATTGTAACTTGCATTATAGAGCATTTGGTTTTGTGTTCACTGTAGTCTCAGTAAAGGAGTTACTTAAAGCTGACAAAGCAGTTGTGAGTTGCCATTAATGATTTCTCAGCTGCCTGATTCAGGCAGTGGGCTTAATGCTCGTGCAGGTTCATTTACTCTGAAACCAAGATGGAAGGAGAGATTGAAAAATGCTGTCCTGGCTCAAGAGGCAGGTGTGAATGGTTGGGTTAGTGTGCTCTTCTAACTACAGAAGGCTGTTTCGTGGCAAAACCCAAGACAACCTGGCCTAAACATGCAAAGACACAGTAAGATTAATCACTTGAATTATGTTCAGGAGTAAATTTTTCTGTGGATGTGTACATCATTGACTGTATA